TCAGACTGATAAAAAAATATCTTACAAAAAATCGAATAGTTAAAATAAAGATTCTTTATGAACTAGATAATAGATAAAAAAAAAGTAGAATGCATCTTCGACATCATGGATGGGAACATGTTGTCAAGGCAAAAACAAAACGTTCAACAGCTATTTCTGTTCTACGATGGACACTTCTTCGTCATGTAACTCAATCACTTGATCAAATCAATGATGAAAATACGAAAAAGAATGCTCTTTGGGAAGAGATGCATTGGCTAAATCAATATTGGGCTCAACCTATACCAAAATCGAGTATAGTTCCTAAATATTGGCAAAGACTTTTCATTGTTAAATCACTTAATACTCGACGTGAACTTTACGAGTAAGTTTAAAATTTCATTTGGTTTTTTTTCTCGAATTATTCTCTTTAAGATATTTACATGATGAAGAAGCTCGAAGAGAACGTCATCGATTACGAATGGAAAAAAGAAAAGAATCAATTGTTGCTATGTCAGATCCTAGTCGATTAGAATCTCCATTTCATAAAACAATATTTGCTACATTAGATATGAAATATAATCCACAACGATGGCCTAATCTTTATGCATTAGCACAAGCAGCTCGATTAGGAGATTTTTTTGTTATTGATGGAGGTTTTGAATTTGCTCATGCGCGTCATTCATATTTTTCATCACTTGTTCAAAGAGTTTTTCGCTGTTTTAAACATATTAATCATTTTCATTCACCAGGTTATATTATAATAAGTGATCTTTCGAATAATTTTCAAACATGCCATCATCCATTACCTCATGAACATTCAACTTATTTTCATTCAACAAGAGAATTATATATTGATCTATTTGATAAAGACCGTTTAATTTATTTAACACCTGATTCACCTAATGAAATGACTCATTTTGATCATGATGCTATTTATATTCTTGGCGGAATTTATGATGATGAAAATAGAGAACCATTAACATATCAAAAAGCTGTCAGACAAAATATTCGTCATCAAAAATTGCCATTAGAAAAATATCTAACGTAAGTTTTATTTTCTAAAATACAAAATCTTGTTTTTTTTTAACTACAATTTCAATGTTTAGCTTTCATTCAACATCAAGTCGTGCATTAGCTTTTCATGAAGTTTATAATATATTATTAACATTGAAACATACAAATAGTAATTGGATAAAAGCATTTCGTTATGTTCCAAAAAGAAAAATCGCTAATCGAATAGAAGAAGAAGAACATAACAATGATGATGATGGTGAGGAAAACATCAAATCAGTGACATTTAATTAATATGTTAACTTTCATGAATTTATTTGTTTTTGTTTTTAATAAAATAAATTTATCATTGAACAACTTTCATATTAAATTAACTGTGATATATTAGGATAAATATTTATTCGAATCATCCAATGAAAGTATAACTTCTCATAGGATACTATTGAAAATAGTGACAATAATCTCTAAGCTTCTTGAAGCTCTGCATATTAAAATTATGTTCCTGATTTTCTTGAAATCAGTAGGCTTTCTTAAGAGTATTAAAATGATGCAAGTATCCTAGAAATCTTCAGAGAGTGTGTATGATGAAAGGAGATCACAATATACGGCAGGTTGTATAGGTAGAAGTCTGAGATCTGTATATCTCAGCAATGGAAGGTTTATCTTTTCTCGAATGAAACATTTCGTATGGGGTAGCATTCAAATATAGAGATTAGCTCAACTCTCCGAGCATACTATAACAAAAAGTATCGGCATTGAACATAGCTTTTGGCATTCAAGAAATTTTATTTTTCACAATAATACATGATGGACAAATTACTCTTTAGGCAAAATGTTTAAAAAGAAAAATATTTCCAGGACCTACAGCAAGATATTATAATTCGCGTGTTTTTACGCCTTAAGTTTCATAGAATCACAAAGATATGAATTTTGTTGTCTTGGAAAATTTATCAAATATCTTTTTCATCACACAGTGTTAATCTTATGTCTACAGTTAAATAGTCGCGAATATTTAATTGTGATACAGGAGTTAGTTTCATATGTATTTTAACATATATCTGTCGATTAGAAAAATATTGCACGTTCACCAATAACAAAAAAAATGAAAGTGAATTTTTTCAGCAGCTTTTTTTTAAGCTTGAAAGTATCGACCTACAATTCAAAACATTGCTAGAATTTCAAAAAATATCTTATATCAAAGAAAAGTTCTACAATATAGTAAAAATTTAAAACCATCCGTCAGATTAAACATTAGTCTTGGAAAGATTTGTTAAAAACCCAGGACGAGCATTACGATCATCGTAAACTATCATATACGACGGTGTAAACGACCGTTTACGATCGTGTACGGTGAAATTTACGATCGTATCCGATCGTGTTTCGTCGTATTACTTGCCGTCAGAATTACGACCGTGTGTCGTCGTGTCGTATACGATGAATTTCGACGAGTTACGGTTGTAGTATACTATCGCATGCTTGGCTGGACAATGTTCTAAACCACCATATTAGTGTTTCTTTACGATCATATATCAGATCGTTTATTTTTTTTCTCTATTATCAGTAACTTCGTTAATAAAAATATCATGCTATGTGTTTCACATGATTGTAACAGCTCTCATATTTATTTTTCAATTATAATATCTTATATACAAAACTGCAATTTTTCATGACAATCGAAGAAACAAATAGAAAAAAAAGTTCAGTCGAGTAATTCGTCAAAAGTCAGCTTGATTTCTTTGCTGTGTATCATTAAGTTGTATTGATTGTCGAGCTTCTTAAGTTGATTGACGTCGACGTTCTTCGATTAAAAAATCGGTTAATTTTCTTCGTAAAAGTGCTCGATAAAATAAACCAAAATTTACTGCGTCCAATTTAAATTTATAACGAATTGCATCTATTAAAGAACAAAAACTTTCCAGTCCGAAAAAAACTTGAAAAAAATTTACATACCCATACAAATCTTAAAGCGATCTTGATCAAGTGGCTGACGTCTTAAATGAGGTTTACCAGGTGGCAGTATCGAACTCTTGAGTTCATCTTGAGAAAAAACTATTCGCAAAATTTTACGGGCATAATTCCCGTAATCGGTAGCCATCAAATCAAGTAAATTGTAATTGTTGAACATCTTAATATAAACAAGAGAATGTAGCATACACACTATAACGAATGAAAAATGTACGATTCCATTAGATATGATTCTATTCGCCCACACTTGAAACCCCTTACTCTATTTCAATCAATCTATAGTTGCTAAAAATCTTCATCGAACTTCGTTCAAAGCAATTTTCGACAAACTTCTTTTCTATTCAATTCAATTTCCTTCTAAAAAATTCATTCCATCAGATTTATTCTTAGAAAATCTTTAATTGATTTCTTTGCGAATAATTGATTTAAAATCTTAGTTCTATCTGACTGCAGCGCTTTCCAAAAAGAAAATTTTGATTGCATTTTATTACGATCAAATGTCTAAAAATTTCTATTTGATTCATTTCAAACGAATTCTAAAAATCTCTATTTAATTCAATTCGATCTACTTTTCAAAAACTATTCCATTAAATTTGATTTGATAAAATCATCGACTAATCTTAATTCGACTTCATTTTATCTACTCTTGAAAAATCCTAATTCGATTATTTTGAAAAAGAAACATCATTGAATTTGATGTCAGAAAATGGTCAAAAGGATATTATCGAATTCGATTCGATGAACTTTTCAAAAGGAATCTCATTTCATTCGATTCAAATCTACTATGCAAATATTTTCGTTTGGGTTTTTTTTCAAACAAATTATTCTCAAAAATCTGTATTTGATTCGATTTCGATCTATTTTGAAAAGAAATTGCATTCCATTTTATCCAATGGAACCGTCGAATAAACTTCAGTCGATTTCATTCTACCGATTGTCAAAAGATGTTAAATATTGTTTTTTAAATTCATAAAAGTTTCTATCTAGATCGATTGGATCAATTTGATCTGNAACTCACTTGAAGCTGTTGAAACACGTTGTGTTAAAGGTTTACCGATGGTGCTCCTTCTCTTCTTTGATGATGATTCAAATAATGTTTTCTTCGTTCGTTTACGACAATCAAAAAATGAATTTTCTTCATCATCACTATCTGACACTTGTTCAATAAAATAAAATAATATAAGTTATTATAAAACAAAGAAAATAAAATTTTTACAATAGGAAAAATATCTCGTCGAATCTATAGCGATTAAACTATATTATTAATATACGAATGGCACAAACCATATTCATTTATAAATTGTTTGTAGTGATAAAACACTACAGCTACAATCATTTTGATGAAGAAATAAAAATGGTTCATTTCGAATATATAAGATGCATTGCTTCTCAAAGACTGAACTTGTCGTGCTGATAGAGAGAACAAAAAGTGTATATACTAGATGACCTCAATTAAAATCTTCATTGAAAAATAAAGAATTAAGCATACCTTCAACATCTATTTTTTCTGGTGTTTGTGCACATGTTGAAATTCGTGGTGATGATGAAGTTGATGATGATAAACGTGTTCGATCAATTTTTGAAGATCTTATATTTTTCATAGATGAATTAATCATATTGATAGCATCTTGAATCGAATCATCTGAAAGAATGAAAATCATGGCATGTATCAGTTTGAAACATGAAGCGAGAATATTACCATCATTTTGATCATCGGCTTGATCTTGTGATAAACGAGTTAATCGAGCATATTCACTATTACAATCTTCAAGGGAGCCTGAAAGACAATAAGCGAGAATAAAATAAATAAATAAATAAATAAATAAATATGAAAGTAGACCATGAAAGACTATTTTGGCTTGTAAAAGTTTATTACGAATAAGAATAAATGTAACACCATCATTTATATTTTTAAGACTTGATCAGGCAACAATTTGGTACGAATTAGTTTCTTCAAATAGAAGTAAGTAATGGGTTGAAGGTGGTGTGTGTTGTGTTGGAGTGAAAACTCGACGTGGAAACGTTTGTCGACGTGATGTCATTACTATACGAAGATGTTGAATGCGTAAATGACGAAAAATACTAAAGCTTATAGTATATATAGCTATATTAAATATATAAAGACTATCACAGAAAAGAAACAATAATATGAAATAGGATCTATCTAGATTCGATTTCTCGCCTGACCTGACGAAGAAAAAGTTAACAATAGTTTGCAATGAGATGTATCTAGGTTCAGTTTCTCGCTTGGTCGGACGAAAGAAAAGAAAACAATAGTTTGAAACGAGATCGATTTAGGTTCGCTCTCTCGCTTGATAGGACGAAGGAAAAAAATTGGTCGTCCATTTTTCGCATTCATTATTTTATACATAAGTATTGAAAAAATTATCAAACTAGTATGCTAATAGAAGTTAATTGAAAAGAATAAATTAGTCGTGTTCGTATGATGATGATAGTGGTGTTACAACAAGAGAATCATTAAACGTAAACACAATACACATATTTGATATCTTGTCAACAGTGACAACATCAGTAAAAGTAGAAGTATGATGAAGTACATAGAAATACACATCGAGTGCTTTAAGCAAGATGTCATGATAATTAGATGAGAGAAAATAATCTGTGAACAAATGTTTCAATCGATGATTATGAATTAAAGCAAAATTTTTATTGTTACACTTGAAGAATAAATCGATTTTACCAAATAAATTATCGTCGTGACCTTTTGAATATTGAACGAAGTAGCTGACTGATGATCCTCGTCTTCGATATAATAAGGAATGATAGATCGTGTGTTTAAGCCGACAACGACGATATATACTGATGCATTGGTCAATTTTATCACAAATGCATAGAGCATTATGATACTCGTGCAGAGCACGGCTAATCGAACTATCATGAAGATCAAATATTCCATCGATTTCGATGTTTCTACTTGATGAATGAGAGTTTGGTTGATTGTGAATTGTGAAATCTACCTGAAATTGTAACCCAAATACCTAGAGTAGAGTTAAGTAACATCAATAGAATATTACATACATTATAATTGTTTGTAATTAACTCTCCAAAGTGATGTGTTCCATGTCGATTCTTAGCAAAATGTCCTAATAATGATTCTTGTCCAAAAGTACCAAGGTTAGATAAACTACCATGTAAACGATATTGATTTGCATAGTGCACATGCAAGTGCAAAACGAAATTCTGAATACTTGTATAAAATGATTGATGATCTCTGTAGTAATTGATCATGAGTTCATTAGCTATAATTTCTGTTGCATCGCCAAGTGTACGTGGTCCATGGAGCAGCTTTAGTAAAAAGACTCAATTAGATTTCGAATATCGAATTATGCAAAAATTTCTTTATTTTGATATTAATTATTTTTGTGTTGCTTAGTTCGAATGATAAAATTGTCTAATAAAGTTTACATCCTTTCATATTAACACAATCATACAAGAAAATGAGTCACAAACATTCAGAGATTAAGAGATATTTCAATTATTTTCTTCTTTTGACCTAAAATATTCTGTTGTGAATCGTCAGCGACGTCTAGCTGAGTCAGCAGCAGATCCAGAATATAGGGAGAGAGATGTGATCTCTAGTAAATATCTACTCTAGCATTGACAAAAAGTATGAGGGCTATTAAATATACTGTAACATTATTTTATTTGCATTCTCAAAGAGAAAAAAAAAGAATAACATCCCAGGTCAAACGATACGCTCCGTTTACGGTAGTAAATGAGTAGAAAACGGCATATTTACGGAAAGTCGTGAGTTTCCGTATACTATTATCCGTTTACATCGCAAAAACGGATAAATTTCAGTCCGTTTCCGGTTCCGTGTACGACAAGTCGTATACGACTCAGTAACGAACATCGTTTACGCATCGTTTTTTTTCCGCAACTCAAAAGCCTATAATTAAGGATTTCGCTAAGTGAACGAAATATTTTTAGTGCTTAAAATATTGTTATTGATAACATGTCATCGAAAATACAATAATTTAACTCAACATGGTGAAAATGTGCACATTCATCTAATGGTGACGATTGTAGCGACATCTTTAAAAATTTGAAATATGTCTTTTTTTATTTTTGAAATTTTGAAAAATCATATAGGTAAAATAATTATTTATATCTTACATTTCTGATCATAAAATATTTGAGAAATCAAGATAGACTTGCCTAGGCAGCTGTGAATACGACTGCATTATATACCGGGAGAGAATGATACCGTTAGAATTTTCTTCGTCAGTTATTTTAGTATTGAAAACACTATTCTTATCTGATTATATAATGCGTCAAGCTTGTTTCTAGCTCGATCGTCACACGTCGATGATGTTTTTCTATTTCAGCTACCATCTTATATATTTTGTCGAATGTTTGTTTGGAACGTTCTAGATGTTTAGAAATGGATTGGCTTGAGTTGGAACTTGCAATAGAATATGATCAACATAACAGACGGAAAAGATACAATAAGACGAATATTCAGCGCCGAACAAAACGCTTACAAAAACAAGAACGAATTTATCCTGATTTATTAATGTCAACACAAGGTAAACAAAATGAACGTGCAGAAACAGCAAGAAGCAACACAGTTGATTTTCATAATAATATTTTTATTGATCATTATGAGGATGAACAGCAAGACTTTATTCATCTAAATGAATATACATTGCAAAACGACAACGAAAATCATGATGAAATAATAGGTAATTTATCTTTTCACATTTATGATGACTCAGAGGACAACGGACTAGCACTCTCATGTGATGATGGTTCAAATGAAGCTTCCGCGTTACCACTACATCATTATACAAGCAATACAACACTTGATTATTGTGAAAGGTTTATGATCATAGCACGTCAATCTCACATAAGTAAAATACATACAAACTCATTTTTATCTTTGATCAAATCGGGTTTGCCTGTTCCTAATACTATGCCGTCAACAGAAAAGCAAATCCGAGATTTACTCGGTGTTCAGGAATTATTTACTAAGCGATCTGTATGCTTATTATGTTCATTGGATTTTGATTATAAACAGATAACTTGTCCACGATGCAGTACGTCAAATAAAACTCGAGTTGCTTTTGTGTAAGTGTTTTTCCTTATGGTCTCATCATACTCTAAAATTATTATTTTTAATTTTTTTTCAAGATACGATGGCGATATCGAAGTGATAATTAAAAATGTTATGTTAAGATTATATTCGAATATTGATGAGTATAAAGTCAAAATTAAAGCCAATGATGATGTCGATAAAACCAGAGACATACCATTTGGAAGTTTGTATCAACAATTACTAAAGAAGAATAACCATGAAGAGATTATTAGCCTTTTATTGCATATTGACGGTGTGAGCGTGGCTAAATCTAGTAAATTAAAGATGTGGATGCTTAGTGCTTGCTTTGTTGAATTACATCCAAAGTTGCGTAATCGACGAAGTAACATGGTTCCTATTTCCATATGGGTGGGATTTACTGAGCCAAAAGTGAAGTTGTGGCTGAGGTCTGCTATGAATAAATTAAAAGCTATCAAGTCACAAGGTATTTATAAGTTTTATTATATTTAGTCGATTCAAAGGAACCTACTATTGATATTTATAGGTGTCCTTTTATTCTCCTTCCTAAATTTTTCTTTGAAAGGGAGTTAGATGTTCCTGAGATACTAAACTCTGAAGATGAAAAAAGAGAAGATAACATGCACTAAAGGATATGCATCTTTAGTCAATTTTTATTTTCTATTAATATGAAATAAAAAGCAGCTTTTATTCGTAAAATATTATCTTTTTACAATTATAGGTATTAATGTAATGAACAAAAATCATAAATTAATTATATTTGGTATCACTGGAGATTGTCCTGCCATCAGTTTAATTTGCAATTTTTATTAATCATAATGGTTATTATTGCTGCTGGTTCTGTTTCATTAAAGGAGAACATATCGGTCACAAACGTCAGTATCGTTATTCATCACTCATTTTACGAACAGCAGAACAATATTCGAAAGGATCGAAGAAAGCTGAACGTAAAAAAAACAACATTTATGGTCATTTAGGAAAAACTATGCTCGATGATATTTTGGATCTGCCATTACCAAACGCAGTCGTTATAGACTATTTACACGTGACCCTTCTAGGTCATGCCAAAGCAATAATACTATCCATATATCGTCAGTTGAAGCCAATACAACGTGAACAACTTAACATTCAATTAAGAAATCAAAAATTTCCTCGTTAGTAGTATGCAATTTTTAATTGCAACCTTTTAATTTGAATTCATCCAACTTTTTTATTTTTAGACTTTTTTAATAGAAAAATAAGATCGATGGATAATTTTGCATTTGTGAAAGGTACAGAAGTTAGGAATTTACTTTTTTACGGATTATTACCACACATGAATTTGTTATTGCCAAGTGAACAATATGCCCATCTTGCGTTATATGTTATTGCTATACGCTTGCTTCATAGTGGCCATATATTTGGTAACAAAACAAATGAAATTGCTGATCGTCTCTTTTCTAGATTTTATGTAGATCATGAATTGTTTTATGATCAGTTACAACCTTTTAAATTGCATCTACATGCTCACTATTCATATATGTATGAAACACACGGCTCATTATGCAATTTAGGCTGTTTTGGCCAAGAAAGTTTCATTGGAGCTATAAGTAGTGAGCATCATGGTACTCGCTATTATGGAGATTCAATAACTTATTATTATAATATTGACCTTTGCATTCAAAGAAAAAAGATACGAAAGGCAACTATTGATGGACCTTATGATTTATCTTCTACTACATCAAACGATTATGATTATATGAATCAAATTCATTCTTCTTTATGTATGTGTACTGATTTGAGTTCATGTTGTTTAATTTATCGTCGATTTATTATGAAAAATGAAACATTTCATTCTTTAATATATAATAGAAGACAAACTTCTGTTAGCTATTTTGTACAATATTCATTGGCTAATGGTGCTATCGAATACCGCTTTGGCATTATTGAATTCTTTTTTGTTTGTAATAGTGTTAACTATGCAATTATTAAGCATCATCGTATTAAAGAGTTGTGCAGTAACTTTTTCAAAAATTCTTGTTATTATCATTTATTAAAAAACCCAATAGATTCCATGTATTTTATTTTACAAAAAGACCATTGTCAGATAGACGTTGTTCGAACTGATTATATCAACAATCATTGTATAGTCGTAGAAAAAAATGATTACTTGTTTGTTACAAATATTTTATCATATAGTGAACATGATTAGCAGTTGTTGCCAATAGAAAAATTTTCTTTTCTTTTGTTAGATTTACTTTGGTACAACCAAATATTACGTTCTTGAAAACTATTTTCTGTTAAGTCAAATTCTACCGTTTTATATTTTATTTTTCTTCACTATTTATCTTGTCCACTAAATTGAACCAATATATAATCATTTACTTGAACCTTTCATTTCAGATTGCTTTTTTATTAGTGTCAACGATGACCAACAATGACTCACAAATAGTTAAAAAGCGAGCAATAAAACCAAAAACACAATACTCACCATCGAATCCAACAACAGCAACCACTTATCACTTGACCTTTGACAATGATACGAAAAAAATGATGATCGTTGGTCATTCAAGTATTAAACGATTTGTCAATGATGATAAAGCGGTGCTGAATGATGGTCATACAGCAAAAATTATTGCATCAGGTAATAACTTTTCATTTTAGAATATGGAATTACTAAATAAAAAATAAACATGGTTATAATTTAGGCACAAAAGAGAAATGTATGGAATACTGGAAAAACCATACATTTTCATCAATTAGTAAGAAACCCATATCACAAGTTTTAATGAATTTCAGTTTTTTTTATTGACTTCAGACAATTCTGGTGAATCTGATGATGAAAATGATATTGTACCTGATTTAATGAAACAAACACTGCAAATGCCATCAAATACATTTTTAACACGTGAGTATTTTATTAATTGCAAAAATGATCTTGCGAGACTGAATATTTATCTTAGCTGCTCCAATTCGGCGTAAAAGAGCATTAATAAATCGTTCAAACTCACCTGATTCCATTTTTTCTGGTATTTATGAGTCGCAATATTCTATCACATGCTTTTGAATTTTATTTTGAATATCTTAGTTTCATCACCAAAACGCCCAAATCAGGAAAATCGTCCAAGTACTTTAGCAGCTCGTACATTCGATGATCCATCTTGTTTTCGTACTCAACGTCGTGTAACAACAGGTAGACTTTTAGATTATATTACTATTTTAATAGAGTTCATTTTATATTTTTAAAGTAAGCTCACCAATATCTTCTGATGACGAAGAAGTTATCGATGGCGGTGAAGAAGTTTCATTACGTCATATATATCAAGAATTGCAAAATACACAAGAACATTTACGAGATACTCGATCAGAGAATCGTGATACTCATCATCAATTAAAAAAATTAACAGAAAAAATTAATAAGTTTCAATCTCTATTTTCTTCGGTAACGTATTTGTTATTATTAAAATAAAACGATAACCATTATGTTCAACTGTTTTAATTAGAAAAATAATGAAGATCTTGAACGTTATCGTGATCCTGATGGGAAAGAAAATTTTCGAGATACAATTGTGAGTGATCTTTATGATGGACAATAGTAGAAGGAATTCGAATTTTATTTCTTTCTGTAGCCATTTGATGGTCGTGATTTACTAGAAGTACCGGCACGTAATGCTGCTGAATATGCACGAAAATTGTTGCAGGAAATGTTTAAACCAGATGAATTAGAATCAAGTTTATTGCCATCTCCACATGCGAAGAGATTTTCGAAGGTTGAACTGGATCAAAACCGATTTAATCTGTTAAATGGTACTGCGATGGATCTTTGAATATTTCTATAACATGGATATTTTTTCTATTTTTAGATGCTGTTCGAACACGATATCGTATCTCAAAGCATCATTATATTAGCTTTTACAAAGACAGAATTCAAGATAGTTTAGCTAATTGCTTGTACAACGTAGGAATACGAAAAAAACGAAAGCAAAAGATACAGCAACAAAAAGACCAGCAAGCTTCTCAACAACTGAATATTCAACAACAATCTCAAATTAGTACAACTTTGACGAACGTGAATCAATGAAGAAACCAAATACAATCATATTGATTACTGTATGTAGTGTAACTTTAAAATTCGTTTTCTCTTATTTGAAAAACACTAAAATCTGTGTATTTCATTGCTTAGTACGTGTCAGATGAAATAAAGATTTTTCTTTGGTTTCATGACTTTTTTTTGTTCCACTCGGTGACTGCTTTAACTGTCACATGTGATCATTATGAAATATGTATCTAATGTTTGATACTCACCATTTTATTGTAAAGTGTGCTTATTTTTTTTGTGTCTATTCCTGTATATCGTTTTAGCTTTGCTGATATGAAATAAACGAAGAAATAACTATACGAAACAAAAGACATCTATAGTAGAAATTATTTGTAAACGAACACAACATGGTGTTTATATGCCCGTATACAGTAGAGATACGTTAACAAACCCCCAATCGTATTGTATCCGTTATATAATAGTTTACGGTCGACTACGGAGTGTTTACGATGCGGATAAAATACGGGCCGTATTCCTGATTCCAGTACGACGGATAATTACGGACTACTTACGGTACGTAATAACATCGTTTACGGTCGTAAAATAACCGTATTTCCACAGCTCACTGTCCGAAAACGGCCCGTAAACGTAATCCGTTTCGCTTGACCTGGGTATGTAATAGTGAATACCATATTTTGTAAACCCAATTTGAGTCGAATCGAATTGAATCGAATTGATTTTTTTCGTGTTTTGAGCCGAATCGGATCGAATTACAATTTTGAAAAGACCAGAAAATCCGAATCGAATCGAATTACGATTCTAAAAAGCCGAATCGAATCGAATTACAATTCTAAAAAGCCGAATCGAATCGAATTACAATTCTAAAAAGCCGAATCGAATCGACTGGCACTTTTGCCATCGGTTTCGGTCTCTGGTATGAGCTGAGGCAAAGCTGATTTAACTGGCTGGTCAGATATGATACTGCAGACCGAAATCCAAATACTTTTGATATAAATGATGAATTTGACATAGACAAAATTGTTTCTCAAATAGCTCAAGTCGTGATAGCGTATATCGCTGTTCTTTTTTTCTCTTTATAGAGCAATTTAATTGAAGGCGTAATAAATGCAAAAGAAACTTTCGTGGCATTTTCAAGTATCGTGGTGGCTTATAAAAAGAAATATCATCATTTTCATTCAAGCGAAACCTATTATTATCAATAGATGATTTTGTTTCAATCTGAGAATTCTTCATCTTTTTAAAAACTTCTTGTGATATGGATCTCGATGTGAAACAGTGGCAAAGAAAACAAATAGCCTATAGTTTCCTATGATTTCAAGTGAATAAATCCCAATTTGCTGAAATAATATAATGTATTCGATTCAATATATGCATTTAGAGTTTCACTATCAATATTTCTTGAGCAACTTTCATCAGCTAAAAAGAAATCAATTTAACATGATATAAGAAATACAAATGCTCTGCGTTAAGATTTGAATAAGATGAACCTAAGTGATAGAAACCTCTAACCATCGACTCATGACTTCAAAGTTGATTTCCAAATTTGTTACTTTTCCACATAATAGATTATGTTCGATGATATTTTCTTGTAAGAAGTGATTACTTGGAAGAAAAATTTTATAGAAGAGGGGTTTTGTTCAAAATCTATCAAATGAACATGGACGTATATTATTTTTAAGTCTTAAAAGCCGAATATTCTATCCAGAGAACATTGATATAATTGTCCAGGTCGATCGTTCCAGTCACTGGATACTGTAGGAACTGACCGGAAATATGTGGAAAATTTTCCGTATCCTGGGTGTGGGTGTGGGTGTGGGTGAGTATGGATCAGAAGACTGCGTCATCACCTGCATTCTTTAGATTAAAATAACTGTGAAACTGAAAATCGGAGTTTATTTATTATTTAGACTAAAAATTATTCGAAAGCATCTATGTATAAACGTGTGTTGCTTCTTTACGAAGATTAGTAGTCACCCATTAGATGGTTTCCCGTGTCATCAAAATCGCGACAAATCGCGAAATATCGTCAAAATTGATGTTTTTTTGCCAATTTTCCGAACAAGATCAAGATTCATGAAACAACGATACGGTTTTGATGAAATATGTAGATGACATCGTACTGCATATCAGAGGGCCTCATCAAGCTCATTTTCGTTATAGTTCCTGTTCTGCAAAAATAGTTCATAGAAAAAATGTGAATAACAGATCCAAATAACTTGAACATGGATATAAGTAGAGCTACTAATATAACAGGACGACAAGATGTATGATGATATGATGTAATTTCTCATAATATTACCCATTGTGAACAGTTAAGTGAAGATCGGCGACATTTTTTCTCAACGAATGGACCGGTCTCCTCTACTTTTATGACCGAAATTTTGACTTCAATGTTCATTTCAAACAAATATCGAACTGGTATAGCAGCATAATTTAGTAAAGAATACTTCTTACAGTATCCTTTCGAGTATACATGAAATATTCAGTAACTTAGATACAGAAAAGCATCTTCAATATAATCAGCAAGAGAAATTAGTTCACATTTACGACATACATCTATGACATTTACATGCACTCACAATTTAAATTGATTAAAGCAAGTCATTAGATCATTATAGGAAGATAATCTTAAGTAGTGCTTAAGTTATTTCAGTTCGACTAATGAAGACTTCAATAGTAGATGATGTTACTCAATTCTGAGCAAAAAGTCTGGATAATTTAAAAAAGAAACTACTAAATTATCGTGAGATCTTACGGAAACTTATTTCACTACAAAGGATATTATTTGAACATTCTTTTAGTAGCGTGGATGATCTAGAATTTTAAAGAAATAGCTTACGGTCTATTGAAATGTCTTCGCACAAGCTAATATGAATTTTTGCGAAATAGATAAATTATATGTTCTCATACTTGTGCATTGTTATATTGTTCAATACGATGAATCTTGAAAATCATCAATAAATAGATGTTATCGAAGAAACAGAAAGAAACTGCTTCTCTGCCATTTTATTTCAATATTGAATCCTAGAAATCTTATTGCAACTTATCTGATCAATCATCTTCAATTTTATTCAGAAAGCAAATAAATGCAGAAACTTAAAACATTTCAAGACAAAGAGAATTACTATTGTCATCAACAATAAAATGGAATTTTAAATTCAGATATTGATCAATATATATCATATTTATTCTACTATTGTTTTTAGATGTTTTTTAATGAAAAAAGAAATATATTTATGATAACATGGACCATAATAATATGATTTAAAACTATTTTCATGAAAGATTATATTTTTTAAGCTTGAGTGCAGAAATAAAGAGTACTGCATTTTATCATGATATATAATTGCTGTGCGTCAGCTTACGTGACACTTAGAAAAATCGACTATCATTTGCATCCTTCAGATTTCCACTTAGAATATTTGTGGAGAAAACTGAATCTTTCATAGAGAAGAAACTAAGATATATTTGTCGATTCACTTCGTTTTCTCTTTTTTATCTGAGTTCTTCCACGTTTTTAATGTAAGTAGTTAGACCTTATTGAGTGTTATTTTTTGTTTTAGTGTTTTTAATTTAATGAATAATTGAAGACAAGGATAATTTACAATATTTTGACATCTAATACTGTCTAATGACAAAGATTTACACACGATTGGATCGCTTACTTTTAATTTTTCTGAGCAAACACTTCCAGATTAGGAGTTTTAAACATTGTCTTTCTCGATTCAATCTAAAGAACTAGGGATCGTCAGATTGTTGAAATACTGAATAAATTAGTATCAAAGTATTATAGTACAAGAGAACTTAGTTTGTTTCAAATCACCACACACACCAGTAAGATTAGATAGAAATATTTTTCAAGAAAAACGCAGGTTACTACGTACGAAATACCAAGAATCTCTTTAGCACATCAAAATAATAGGAGACAGATTTTAACAAAATTCCCTGCATAGAAAAACAAAGACGAAGAGCTACCATCTTTCAATCAGCTACGGTTTAAGAAAGATTTTCTCGTTCAGCATATACAAAAAAAATGAACGTTGTATTCAAAACATTCTCTTCTCATTAGTGTGATGTTCGACAGTAGACCGAAACAGAATCAAAAATTTCTTGTACCGTTCCATTCTTCGTATCATACTGGCACATTTCCTTCATTTTTCTGTAGGTGGTAGGCAAAACTAAGACATACAAAGCGAAACAAAATTTTCCTGTATTTAGAAAGTAATCAAAACGAAGCAGCCACTGTAAACTGTTCGTATGTACTTCTGTTCAAATTTAAACATTTTACTATAATTTTCGATCGACATTTATTTGTTTCTGGATTGAGCGTTGTTCATATATAATGCTTTGCAGTTTGACTTATCTATTTTCCGTTCTGAAACATTCGGTAGTGAAAAACCAGTTGCCACACGTTGAAATTTCATACTGTCAACATTTAAAAGTTTACTTCTGTTAGTTGCACAAATACTTTTTGAATGTAATCTATGCTGTTGAATCATAAACAGCAGGATGAATCGATTAAAATGAGCAATGCATCTAGTCAAGTAACACCATCATTGATTTTATTTTTTATTTTAGAGTATTCTCCGAACAACCATTCACCTTCTTCGTCAATGTCGGTCTTCAATAAGTCTAAAACAGATTTCTCAGTATGTCGAGTTTGTAGCGTTCCTACTTCTCATATACATTATGGCGTTGTTTCATGCTCGTCGTGTAAGATGTTTTTCCAACGTAATGCTCATTTAGGACGCGTTAGTTAAAGCTCTTGTAACTGTGTTGTCTCTCATTGAATTAATTCATTTAGGAACATGGAAGGTGCCGATTTAATGATGATTGTGAAGTAAATATTAATACTCGCCATGTTTGCTTGCATTGTCGACTAAAAAAATGTTTTGCAAGTGGAATGCAAATGTCACACTTTCGATCTTCAAGAGGAAACCAAACTAAAACAAGCCGAAAAAGAAAAATGGCGTCAACGACATCAAATGATCGCCAGCTAACAATACAGGTTTGATTTCAATGTAGATTTTCAATTCACATAGGAAAAATATAAACCTTTTTCTTTCTAAGAAAAAGTCGAAGTATTGACGACACGTATTTTGAATTGAAAAGTATTTTAAAAAAATCACTTCTTGTTTTTCTTCTAGTTGCCAACAATAAATCTCTTACGATCGGATAACTCATCATTGAATTCTGCTCAGTGGATACTAATTGCAAATTTAATTCATAGTTATGATGAATCAAGACTTCTTGCTGCTGCTCGACGCTTAATGAACGAAAATAATATTTCACAAGTCGAACAGATCCGTGACCCAACAGTGGTGAGAGATTTTCTTAAACAAACGTACGAAACAACAGGAAAGTATCTTCACGCCAACCATGATTTTCTGATTTTACCGCCCGATGACCGATTTGTACTTCTTCGGCATGCAGCTGAAAATGTTCAGTGTTTGAGTACAATCTTTATCTGGAATCAATCTAAGCTGTACACTCATCGATCATTCATGAAAACTTGTAATTATCTCTACGGAGAACAATTAGTGAATATGGTACGCCATGCTATGAAATTTATCGATCCTGATCTTGTTCTAGTCAAACTAGCTGCTTCATTATTTGCTTTTTTCAATAGCTTGTTGATAGTACGACCAAATTACACAATGAATTCGAGCAGTATCAGTACAATATTCCGGATTCAAAGTAGTTATGCTGAAGTAACTTGGAAATATCTTGTCTACAGATATGGATATTATCAAGCAGTGTTACGTTTCAATAATTTGATTCAGTGTCTTATGACAGCAACTAAGATAACATCTAAATCATTGAATGCTCATATCCATACCAATGATATGGAGTCACTCGTTGAACAAACAGAAATTTCACTTTTCTTGGATGATATCGAACAGATTAATTCAGACGTTGTTTAATTGTTTTGTTCGAAATATTCTTGCAAATAAAAACAACAGTTCATATGAAGACATTTTTTTTGTCAATGCTGATGACATTTACAAAGGTTACAACAAAGCGAATAACTATGGTTGTGGGCGACGAGAAGAGAAGTATCTCAATAGTCAGACTTTGAGTAGAAGAGCTTTTTGGATTCGAGGGAATAAGATAGAGGACGCTATTTTCTGTATCGATGTTTTGTATCTTCAATTTAGTTCCTTAAGTATTAACTCAGTAAAATAACTCAATCTTACTTGAAATTTTTTTCATAAGTTTCATTTAATAATATTTTGTTATAGATTAAGATGAATTATTGGATTCTGTAATTAAAAAAAAAACCTATGAACGGAGTTCTTGTCTCTTTCTTTCGTTGGTTGTGATTCAATCAACCAATCACTCGCATACGTAAGTTGATGAATCGAGAGCAACAGGACTATGAAAAATTCAAGTGAGAATAATGATGAATGTGTAAGCCCTTCTAGATATTTCTCATTTTCCAATCTAATTTTTATGATTTAATTTCTAATATAAGATTTGTATTCGATCCACGTAAAGTTACGCAAAATATTATAAGAAAATTAAAAAACAGCGAACAGCCTCTGTCGCGATTAAGCATCAAAATTCATGATAAAGAAATTAGGTTAATTGACGGATTTAACGAAAATCAAACTTTTTTTCAAATATTTAACTAATATAAATATGAATGATAGTAATCGTATCATTAGATAAATGGCTTACCTAATTTTCTTAGTGTAGGACAATAAATAAATAATTTTATCTTAATCGAAATAAATTTATTTAACATGATTTATTGACTATTTGAAGTTCGAGTAAATCAGTAAGAACTATTGCAGTAGTTGCTTTACTTCTTCTCTTATATAACGTTCTTGACTGAAATACGGTACTGCAGCTATTTCAAATCTCGAAAGATTCTGCATAAGAGAAAATGAAGAGCTTGTTATAAATGAATTAGAAACAATTCGGTTTATGTATTAAACGCTTTTCATCGTAGTTTTGGTTCCAATCCTGAAAACGTTCGTGTTACTTGACGACATTCGGAAAGTCTTGAAAAAGTTTCTTGAAAGGAAAACTGAACTTTTCTATTAAAAGCAAATAATTTTTGATTCGGATTTAAAAGCATGCCTTACATTTCATCTATCCAATGCATTTTTCTCTACTCGTTTTTAGTTGTTTATAAAAAAAGCACTAGAGGAAATACCATTGGTATGAAATTCGAATCAATGTTTGATTAAACTTCGAATATTTCTCTTTAAAATCGTTCAAGAAAATTAATTGGTGCGTAATGCTATTAAAAATCCTGCCCTATAATGAGCTCTCTTAAAATCGTCACATGAGCAGTTATTTATCGGTGATATTATATTTAACATCTATAAAAAAAAGGATTGGTCTCAGTTGTCGGATTAAATCTATTATTTTCTTAATTTTAAAGATTAATCAAGATAGAATACTTCTAAAATATGTCACGATAAATAGATAATGCATATTAATTCAAATACTATCTTATTCGGTCGAACGATTCTTCTTGTTCCCTACGGGAAGCATCATGTAAAAAAGTAAGACGAATAAAATTCGGATTTTATAAAGGTTTATTCTTCAATTAGATATCATACATGGATGGAAAATGAAGAAACAAGAGAACTTACTGCTTCATTACCTTTAACTATTGATGAAGAATACGAAATGCAACAGACATGGCTAAACGATAAAGATAAATGTACATTTATTGTTTTATCAAAAGAAATATTTGATCAAACGCATGACGAAATAGGTAGAAATAAATAAAATAAATATTTTTAAAATAGAATCCTGATTTGCATAGAATCAATGATTGGTGATGTGAATTTATTTTTAAATGATCTTGATGATATTCATTGTGGTGAAATTGAAATCATGATTCCTCAAGCTACAGAACGACATAAAGGTTATGGAATAGAAACATTCTATACATTTATTCGTTATGGTAATTAACGTGTTGTTAATTTTATTCAAGATTTATTTATTTCTCTAGCAATTGAAACACTGAATATAACTCGATTTGTAGTTAAAATTGGTCTACAAAATTTACCAAGTATTAATTTATTTACAAAAAAATTACAATTTCTAGAGGTAAGCATGAAGAGTATAATCTATTTTTGTTCTCATTATAAAGATTGATTTAGATTGAAAAATCAGAAGTATTCCAAGAAACTACAATGGAACGTCGTGTGGATAATGATTTCATCGAATTTCTACATAGTAAAACACCTAATTATGAAATTGATTCGTATGAGAACTTAATTATCAATAAAACAATCTGATATTGATAAATAAAAATAGAGAGCAGTCCTATCAGATATTTACGCATAATAAAAATAGAAAATATTCTATGGACAAGTACATGATTAGCAGCATAGCGGATTGTATGCGGAAACAAAGAATAATCCAAAGATAGACATCTATCTGAATCACTATGATGAATAAAAATTGGAATCATAAATTTTACTCCATTAAATTGTTTCTATGTTTTTTCTACTAATCATCCAATTTCAAGTGTATGGCGAAAATACAACAAAAGAAAAAATGTTGGAACACTATTGCTTATTATAAGCAAATGATTTATAATAAACTTCATTTTTTAGTTTATACTATCTGCACAACAGTTCTTGTTCGATCTAGTACTCGTAACAATATCTTCATTTTGTTTCTCACTTAAGGTAATATGAGTGAAAAGACAATAGGATAAACAACACCCGCATAGTAATACAGAAATTGAACATATTGAGTGACTTTTCAGAGTATAAAACTTCGTATACCACAAAGATATGGAACACTTATGAACGCTAAAGGTAAAGCAAATGTAAGATAAATAGTGGACGCAAAAAATAGCTGAATAGTCATTTTTCAATGTTTTCGCCATTGTAATCATAGACCCAGACGACGCTTTTCTCGAAAGATACGTATAAGTAAAGTGATGCTTCCGACAATAATTATTGAGTGTGGCTAAAATAGAGAACGTCCTTTTTGAATCACTATTTCGTTAAGATCCTCGCAAACGATGCAATCCACCCTCTTAATAATCATAATAGATTCAAACTTTACTAAATTTTGACAATATTATCTTTTTTTTATATATGTTTATAAGATATATTGTCCTCAAACCATTTGACATAACCATTTAGAATGCATAAGAAGGAGTTGAAAATAAACAATATACATGTATTTAAGTCATTCGATATCACTAACTGGCGCACGTGACTTGAAAACTAGCAAATATCGACCATCTTTGATCTGAGAAAAAATAGTACATTGCACTTTGGACGAAGGCAATATAATATTTTCTAGATTGTTCGAATCATCATTACCTCATTATATTTGTGTCTCAGGTGATCAACAAGAGAAAAATAAAAGGTATACCTAATTGACTATATCTTGTATTACCGTGTCAACAAAACAACATGGTGAGTAGTTATACAACGTTGCCTACGCCTCTGCTCGCTTCGATGGTTGGTCGGATAGAAAGCAAAGGGGAAAAACGTAATTCATTGACTCAGTTGGCTACGAAACGATACATGCGCCAATCTTTTTTTTATGCATGATTTTATCTAACCTACGAAGCGAACGCTCGCGAAAATATTATCGTATTCTATCATAAAACGACACGAGTACCTACCAACCGGACGATATTTTTCCTTGGCCATCTTATCAGCGCTAAGCCATAGTTTTTTAGTTATTATCGAAGAATAATAAGGATTAGGAGCGAAAGCAACGCCTCCTTCAATAATTTTGAAAGAGAAAAGGTATATATATATATATATTTCTCTCTCTCTCTCTCTCTCTCTCTCTCTAACGCACGCCGTTATAGTATATATTCAGACGCATATTTCAACTAAATCCAAGTAACTGATACATTACAATTTACTGATCTACAATTCAAACGCGAAGTTATTAACAATGCGTTATACAAAGTTACTGTTTATTGTATGGTTAATTAGCATGGCATTTTTTAATGAATCCGCTGGCCAATCAAAACCCGCTTCTGTGATTCATTCAATTTCGACAAAGTCATATGTAATCGACAAGACAAAGCACAAAATAATGCTCATCACAAGGTGATGAGAATGAGTTCATTGCAATATCATGCGCTTATAACGTAAACATGAAATCAAGGGAAATTACATTAAACTTCTTCAAATAGACCTACATAAGTGACAGCAATCACTATAATATTCATTCATTTTTCATACAATATAAGATCACTAGCGAGTCCAATATCGTTTCAAAGCGAAACATATGATTCTCAAACACTAGTTTTGTTCTGGTCATTCAAAAAACCTGCTGCGTTCATCATTTCAACCATTCTTATTTACACTATTACAAGTACTTCATATTAATTGCACGCAATCCTCTTAAAAGTCCTTCCACTGATATCTAGTCTTTTCTCTCGCATCTGCTTCACATCCTCCGTGTCATTTCTACACAATATTTTAACAGAAGGCTACTAAAAGCAATTCAATCATGAAGTCATATTTTCTCATATTACTTATCTTAGGCATTCGTCTGATCCCTGTGTAGTAGTTTAGCAGAATATTGGTAAAATCATTCCACCGTCACATTGCCGACTTTCATGCCAAATGTCACAAATATGTATCCCTATTTTTGTGAAATACTGTGACAGAACACTGGTGATGCTTATTCCGTCATTGTACCATCTTTTCTCAAGTTACTCACTTCACAACCTTCCTCTCGTCACCACAAAATATGTCAACAGAGAGCTGATACACATTATTCATTCATCACAGCATCTTTTTCTAATGACCAGATGCCAAAATTTCATTCCATTGCTGCACAGTAGTTTAGCATAAACCTACTATAGATTATTCAAAACTCACGAAGCCTTCATTCGTAGGATTTAATTCAAAACTTTCTTTCTATTCCTGTCGAAAAATTTAACAAAGCTTTTTTCATGAACATTCCATCATCGTGTGATCTTCTTTTATACCCTACGGTACATATCTTTGCTTCTATCACAGCACAATAAGTTCAAACCACCATTGTTACAGTCATACTATTCTCACTCCATATTTATTCATATCATCAATTATGTAACACGCGCTATATTTCTACAAAATAGTTTAACAGAACACTAGTACTAAATATTCCCTACTTATGTCATGTGTTTTCTTGTCAGTTGCATCACATCTGAGTATTGCATGTGCAGAGAATAATTTAACATAATGCTACTAGGGAACACTCCACCGCCATGATGTCTACTTCCACCTGATCCACAGGACGCCGTTTTTATAATTAGTACAAAATAATTGAAGACAACGCTTATAGGGGCAATTCCTTGATTTCATCATCCTCTTTAGACTCATTTACTTCCAATGCTGGTTTCCATATATATATAATATTTTTACAGACTATTCGTACGAATTATTCCATTCCCATATCATATTCTTTCACTTCACTTACTTTCGATCTTTGCTTCCACCTCTGCAGGGTAGTCTAGTCGAGCCTTTGTCCCAATAATTCCATCCCCACATCATATTTCTGTGCAACATATTTCAGAATAAGCTCTCGCTTTCTACAGAGTGTATTAACAGAAAGTTGGTACAAGTCATTCAATGGGTGGCATACCTTCCTTCGTGTCATCAATTTCATAACTTTGTCTCGATCTCTGCACAACAATTGAACAGACAACTTCTAAGACTGCCTCCATTATCATATCACCTATTTCCATATCACTTCCTACAACTATTTTCTTTTGTCATTCATAAAATAGTTGATGAGATAGTTACTAAATATCATTTCGTCGTCCTCTGATCCTAATTCATATCACTTATTCCCAACAGTCCCTTCGACGTCTTCCGAATAATTCAACAGATGGTTGCTAAGAATCATTTCGCCGTCCTGTGATCTTCTTTCAAATCATCTCCTCCAAGTAGTTCAAGGAATCTCTAGAGAATAACTCCACAGAGAGCTACTAAGAATCATTCCGCCGTCACGCGATCCTCTTCCTAATCATCTGCTCCAAGTAGTTTATTCTATCGCTCAGAATAACTCAACTGATTGCTACTAAGAATCATTCCGCTTTCTTGTGCTCTTCTTTTATATCATCTCGTTCACTTAGTCGCTTCTATCTCTCCAGAATAACTCAATATATCGTTGGTAAAAATCATCTCCTCTTCATTTGATTTTTTTCCTATCATCTACTCCAAGAATCCTCGTCAGTGTATGTTAGAATAATTGAACAGAGATTTGCTAAGAATTATTCCATCATCACATGAGTCTCTTTCATATCATCTCCTCTACTTCCTCACTTCTATCTCTCCATAATAGTTCAATAGATCGTTGGTAAAAATCATCTCTCCAGCCTGTGATGTTCTTTCATATCATCTTCTTCGCCAAGTCGCTTTTATCTCTCCAGAATAATGCAATACATGGTTTTTCAGAATCATTTCGTCTTCACGTGATCCCTTTCATATGGCCTATCCAAGTATCCACCTCAATAGATTTCAGAATAATTAAACAGAGAGCTGTTAAGAATTATTCCATCGTCACATGAGCCTCTTTCATATCATCTCCTCTACTTCCTCACTTCTATCTCTCCATAATAATTCAATAGATGGTTGGTAAGAATTATCTCGTCGTCCTGCAATCTTCTTTCATATCATCTTCTTCACTTGGTCACTTTTATCTCTCCAGAATAATTCAATTGAGAGTTGCTCTGAATCATTTTGTCTTCATGTGACTCCTTTCATATGATCTTCAACACGTAGTTCCTTCTATCTCTCCAGAATAATTCAATAGATGATTAATAAGAATCATTTTGTCTTCATGTCGTTCCTTTCATATGATCTCCGCGAACTATTCCATTCAATTCTTCCAGCATAATTGATCAGATAGCTTGTAAGAGTAATTTCTTCGTCAGGTGAGCCTATTTAGTATTACTCAGTGGAAGTAGTTCCTTGATACTCTTGAAAATAATTCAACAGAGAGTTGCTAAAAGTCATTCGTTCATCATGTGATGCTCTTTCAAATATTCTGCTCAAAGTGGTTGCTTTAATCTCTTGAGGATAATTCAATAGAGATTTTATAACAATCATCTCGTCGCCCTGCAATCTTCTTTCATATCAACCTCTTCATATAGTTGCTTCTATCTTGCCAGAATAATTCGATGGAGAGTTAGTGAGAATCATTCGTTCGCCATGTGATCTTCTTTCAAATATTCTTCTCCAAGTAGTTTGTTTAATCTCTTGAGAATAACTCAACAGAGAGTTACTAAGAATAATTCCACCGTCATTTGATACTGTTTCGTTTGATTTGCACCAAGTCGTTCTTCCTATCTTTAGGAAATAATTCAACAGGGAGTTGCTAAAAATCATTTGTTCGTCATGTGAGTCTCTTTCATATGATCTACTGCGAGTGGTCTCTTCTATGTTTCTAGAATAATTCAACCGGTGGTTGCTAAGAATCATTCGTTCCTGATGTGATCCTCTTTCATATGATGTACACCGATGGTCCCCTGGATGTCTCGAGAATAATTGAATACGTAGGTGGTAAGAATTATTTGGTCTTCGTGTGGTACCCTTTCACATGATCTAATTCAAGTAGTCGCTTGTACCTTTCCAGAGTATTTCAATGGATTGTTGCTAGAAAGCATTCTGTTGTTATATTATTTTTGTTTGTTTAACCTTATTCAATGGTTTGCGGCATTTGCCCAGGATTGTTCAATTAAATGCTTTTAAGAATCATTCTATTGTGATGTATTCTGATTTCATATGGTTTAATTCAGACGGTTAGTACTTTCTTGGTAGAATAATCGGACAAATCCGTACTAATAAACATTCCATCGACATCGAATCAGGCTGCATGCGGTCTGCTTTGGAGCATTACTACTTTCTTTGTAGAATAGTTGAAGAAGTGACTGGTAGTAAATATGTCGCCCACTTGTAATAGTATTTTATGTGGCCATTTTCATACCTTTACCGGTTCACCAGTAGTATAGTTGAATGATACACTTCTAACAATCATTCTGTTGACACATAATGTTTCATTGTTATCTGTTTTCAAGCTTTGTGGCACCCTCTGTAGAGTTGACAGCTAAAACGCTTCTAATAGTGATGCCGTCGACGTGTAATCTTTAATGTGGTCTGTTTCGAAGCTTTACTGCTGTCTGCGTAGAATAGTTGACTAAAACACTACTAATAGTGATGCCGTTGACGTGTAATCTTTAATGTGGTCTGTTTCGAAGCTTTACTGCTGCCTGGGTAGAATAGTTGACTACAATGTTGCTAATAATGATTCCGACGACATGTGATCGGATTTTTATGTAAGGTACTTCGCATCTTGGATGGGTTCTCTAGGGAATAGTTTAACAGAACCCTGGTATTGATCATTCCGTCGACATGTGGTTGTGTTTTGTGTAAGGCACTTCGCATCTTGGATGGGTTCTCTGTGAAATAGTTTAACAGAACCCTTCTATTGATGATTCCGTCGACATGTGGTTGTGTTTTGTGTAAGGTACTTCGCATCTTGGATGACTTCCCTGTGAAATAATTTAACAGAATGCTAATATTAATCATTCCGTCAACATGTGATCGTATTTTATGGAAGTTACTTCACACCTTGAATGGCGTCTCTGTGGAATAGGGTAACAGTACGCTTTTAGAAAACAGTCCTTTGACTCATGATTTTATTTGATGCAAACGCTTTCCGCGTTGCGATAAAGGCGTTTATAATGGATGAACGGAAGTGTGGTGAGAGGCATCCCATCAGCATGGGATCCGGTTTTGTATATTGTCGTTAGAAAATGTAGTCAGGTGTTCCGTATAGTAAATGGTCGAGAATCTTGTCTACGATGGCCAATAATTGTGCATTTGCAAATGTGTTGGCGTATTTTGAATTGAATCTGTGCGGTTATTACGAGTGAGGCTAGTGTAGAGGCAGGTATGCAAAGATGCTGATGCTTCACCGTTCGCAGCGGTGTACCTTAGCTAGCTCTCATGATGAACTATTATTGAAGTTACTTGAGTAACACTGATTTAAATCAAATATGTTGCTGTCTGGTTTATCATCAAGAAATTACATATCGAGTTAGTAGATGTTTAGCTTCTTGGATGGATGACCGTACTTGTGAAACTCAGCAAGTTGTTCGCATGCAGTGGTTATTTGATGATTAATATAAGATTCGTCTGCATATAACAGCCAACATGGATAGTTTAATAAAATTAATATCTTCTGTTGTGAAAGTATCTGAACACTAAAATGGATATTTAAATAACTCCTTGATGGGGCTTGAAACTTCACAATTAAGGCCGATAATCCCAGCTAGGGTACCACGAACATACGGTGATGGCCACTTTCTACTACAGTCGGACTATTTGGCGGTCAGAGCACCTGGTCGTGGCCATGCCTAAGTCACCGCGGCGGGGATTTCTGATCGCAGTGGTCCTATATATTGCTTCACGATCCGATTCGTGCGCGACAGGAAAACTTCACCTTCTTAACTATTCTTTACTTTTGAATGCTGATAATCAATATCCCATGAAAAGCAAATGGAGAAGACATTCTACAAATGCGATTTTTTCTGAACGAAATTGATCTTTGTATTTACTTCATTGAGTTTTAACTGTTGAATATTTTGCACTGATTCTGTTGAGGAGTACATTTGAACATTGAACTTTTGGCCTGACTTACCTATTGCGATTGAATTAGACTTGCGCATGATATTAATAGACTGGGATACGTGTATATATATATGCATTGAATAAAGGACTAATTTTGAATCTCGTGTTCGTTCCCTCGACTGAAGCGAGGGTCATATGCATTGATGGCACCTCTTTCAAATTCTTCTGAAATTTCTGAATTAGTACATTTTCTACTGAACAATTTTTGACTTGCCGAATTCATCCGATATCTCTTGCTTTTTCCCATTTTGAAATTTTCTCGATTCAGACTTCAGAAACCTGCTGATTTCATGCAGAGACTACTGATTTTTCAAAATTTCTCCTGGTAAAAGCTCTCCTGAATTCAGGGACAGATTATTACTACTATTTTCAGATTTTTCAGCTTGTTTCTAATTGACTGTTAGCAATATTTTAGACTAATGTGAGAGTTAGAAAAGAAGCGAGCTGTTGCAGTATGAGGTGTTGGGAAGTGGGGATAAATAGAAGAGTCAAACTGATGTCGCCATGCTACAAAAGCGCTGCTCATGATTTAGTAAATACTTTGTTGTATATCTATCAATTAATATTCTATATCATATTAGTTAATGAATTAAGTTTGCTTTTCTATTCTATTGCGTATTTTAAAAGCTGACTGAGAGGCGTGGATGTGGAAGTGCGTGATTGTGTGGGATGAAAGAAGTTCCTCAGCCAAAATTCCACACCCACACCGCCGTTGTTAGACATGTACCAAACTCGAGCACAACTTCGAGTTTCGATACCGAGTTTTCAAAGATTGAGCTCGATCTGAACTCGAATAAATAGATTCGATTGAGTTCGAGCTTAAACATTTAAGGTCGAGTTCAAGCTTTTAATACTCGAACTCGATCGAGCTCAAACTCAGAACTTCGAGTTCGAGCTCAAGTCGAGCTCGAACTGGAAAGATCGAGTTTGCTGCGAGTTCGATCGAGCTCAGTGATGAATGAAGGGAAGAAGAATTTTCCACGAAAAACGTGAAGTGACTAAGTATTCGATGTGCGCCCACCAATAGGAGTACGAATGCAAGCGTAAACAATCTTTTTTAGCATATTGCAGGATAAATCTGAGTTCCGCTGTTCACAAAATCGTATTGGTCAGTCTCAACCAATCGAAATCGAGATTTTCGAAAAGTGATTATCCATAGGCAATTTGATGCGAGGACTTTGAATCTAAGCGCCATTTTTCTCAAAATACCGTTGGCCAATCGGGAACCAATAGAAATCGAGATTTTTGAGAAACGAAGTTCCGATTTGCGCTCTGCACACCAAATTGCGTATGGGCGAGAACTGGACGATATCCCCAAAAATCGAGAAATTGTTCCCCTTACAGCAGAAATGCTTGCCAAGCGAAACAATAACGGCCACTACCAATTTCCATGCAGAAATGTATAAGCAATATTTATAATTTTAAGGAGAAATGGATGAAAATATAAGGAGAGATCAATCATTCGTTTTTTGTACTTTTGGGGCGTTAGGTCTGATTATCACCATAATTGTCTGTCGCGTCTGCTATCTTTATTGATTTCACAAGACAACTATTATATAGTCATAAAAAAAGAGAAAAAATGCATGGAATGGAAAGTCCAATGTACGTGAAATGTGTATTAGAAAAAGTGTAAACAAAGAGAACGAAAGAAATAATGCAGGCGCGACAAGTATACGATAACTGATAAATACAGAAAGAAAAGAGGACGACGAAACTAGTCACACATGAATATATTCACTATCTAAGATTTTGAAAGTCTAGTAGAGATCGATTTTGTACAGCAGAAATAGATTATTTTCAAGTAGAAATGAACAAACGATTTCTACTAGTACATATATGTATATGTATAATTTTCCATTTCTGTTTG